TATATATATATATATATATATATATATATATATATATATATATATATATATATATATATATATATATATATATATATATATATATATATATATATATATATATATATATATATATATATATATATATATATATATATATATATATATATATATATAAAGCTTATTAGATTGTTTATATCTTAAAATTAAATATCGCTACTCTGAGTTTCACGTCCTTTCTAGACGATCATCAGGCGATTTTGTTCACGATTTTGTTACTGATTACGCAATCACGTAATCAGTAACAAAATCGTGAACAAAATCGCCTGATGATCGTCTAGAAAGGACGTGAAACCGGCTCAGAGTAGCGATATTTAATTTTAAGATATAGACAATCTATATATATATATATATATATATATATATATATATATATATATATATATATATATATATATATATATATATATATATATATATATATATATATATATATATATATATGAACCAATAAGTATAAAATTGTCAAATACACGAGCAGTTGTTCGCTTTTAAACGTCAAACGAAAATCGCTGCACGAAAGAAAAATTTTGTTTAATAAGCCAATATAAAAATGTAAATGAACTTGTTATTATAAAACTGACATGTATGGGGATTGTTCAGTTGATAAGAAAAAATACGATGTGAAGACTAATTTAAACAAAAATTCTGCCACAAAAAATTCCACCATGCAGTATGTCGTTGCCAATTACAAACTTGCTCTGAGATCGTGGGTTTGATTTTCGCTAGCTATATACGGACTCATGTGAAAACATGCAGTCTGTCAACCTCTGCGGAAAGTCGTGTGTTTTTTCCCGGCGCTCCGGTTTCCTCCCACAGAGTAAGTTGACAAGGTAGGTTAAGGTGAACAGAAGTACGAAATTAATACCTCATTTTTTGTAAAGATAAATAGTCTGTTGCTAGTAGCGTAAAACTCGAAAAGCCCCGATGGGGACTGGGGAGTGAGTTTAGGCCTACTAGCTAAATAGTGTATCATCTATGTAAGTCAAGCATATAAGAAACATAAAACGCTTCCTACGTACAAGTACGTATTGTTTTCTTTGTTTAAAGATAGGGAGGGGTTATATGATAATTCCTTCCAAATTCCAACCGAGCACACGCGATAAGGTAATAAATAATAAAGAAGATTGACGTTTATGGAAAACCGGTAACCGCTAACTTCAAGTCATATTTTGAAATCAACTGTAGGCTGTTCGATGTTAAGACAATTTGTGCATTAAAATTGAAGAATGAATTGATTAAAAACTTGTCGAAACCTTCGAAAACTTGTAGAACTTACCTTGATCAAATGCAAATTGAAGTTTGACGTTTGCTCGGTCTGGCGTAAACGTCAATCTTAACCTCTCAATAGTTCACATATATAGGCATGTTCACAGGTAGCCATAAATATTTTAGAAATATTAATCTGAAAAGCGACCATATCAACGTGTAAAAATCCTTTTATTATATGCATGAGCTTGTTTAATTACAAAGTTTCAATTGAAGGTTTTTAATATAAAATATTTCACTAAATTAATTCGAATGCTGTACAATAACGCCATGGGTTCCCCATTAATGCGATTGAAATTATTCGTATATACAAGCTTTGAATGCATATTTAGAATGGCGTATATATATTACAGCTGAACGTTATAAAGTGCTAGATTGATAGAAGAGAAGGCACAGCTGAAGGACGTAAATACGATGGATGACATTGATTCTATTACGGAATCAGGGGAACGTCAATCTTTGAATGAAGCCAATGATGAAAATAAAAATCTTCAAAATCATAAAAGAGCGAATTTGAAAAGCTTGGTTTGTTCTGATACTATCGACGTATTCTTAAAGGTATAATAAGCAACACTAGAAATATTCCCGTCCAGTATTACTAAAGACTAAAAGTCTATATATATATAACTTGTATTATATACCGGGTGTCCCAAAAAAAAGTACTCCGGTTTGATTCGTAATAACTTCTAAACAAGTAAACCTTTTAAAGAGCAATAACTTGCATCAAATAGAGGAAGGACTAACTTAGATTTTGATATATTACAGTTGTATTTCACTTAAAAATTCACGGAGATGTTAATGTTTAAATTCGGGAGCATATTTCTGGATGTGTCTGAAATATGCAAAAAACGGCGTATCAAATATTAATCAACATTTGCCCGACTGAAACATGCACGATTACCAGTAAATAAATGACACTTGACAAATTGTTTATTATGAAACAAAGTCTGTATTATTATCTACAAAATACAAGCAAGATTTATTCGTCCGAAATCTGTGTGTGTTCCTAGCACGAATACGT